TTTAAAGTGATTATAGTTAATAATTAAATTTTTTTATAAAATTAGCTTAAGGGAAAAAAATTAAATTAAAAACATTAAAATGAGAAAATAACGAAATAAAATTTAAATGGTTTTTAGAGGGACAACATGTTTTAATATTTTTTTCTATTTTCAATTTGAGGAGAGAGAAATACATTAAACAGTAGAAAATATATATTATATTTTTGTTTCTAACTCTTCTGAAAGCGCCCTCTCTTCTCTCTTTCTGCAACTAAAACCAATTTAGGGTTACTCAATCCGTTTTTCACTCTTCTCACCATTTCACGGTTTTACCTTTCCGACTCAAACACAGGTGCGGCTTCACTCTGCATATAATTATTTCTTCGTTACTTCCGTTGTGGTGGTATTTTGCTCTTTTTATTTGGTTTGGTTGTTATCGTGTTTGTCTTTTGAAGACATTTTGCTTGGTTCGGTATTCTAGATCAACTTCTGCTATAGTCTATTTTAGATTTTGAGGAGGGTGAACTTCTTTGTATGTATTCACTGCCTTGTCATCCTTTTCTGTTTAGTTTTTGCTTTGCATAGTTTGCGCCTTGGTCGATTGTATTTGACATTGTTATCAGTAATGAGCACATGAATAATTTGTTAACAATTGGATGATATATTATCGGTAGTACAAAATTGTTTAATTTTTAAAACTCGAGGACCAAATGTACAAATTAAAGTTTTAAGGGGATCGATATTGCATATTCATGGTACTATGAGGATAAAAAAGAGATTTAAGCCTTGATTAAAAAGAAATTTTTAATGGTATATGCTTTTACATTAATCTCAATTTGTATAACTTTTACCCCTATTAGATACCATGATGCTGAAATTAAGTGCTGATGTCATCTACTTCAACATAAGTTTGTCAATGAGTTTATATAGCTGGGTGCATACACTTCCACCAACTGAAAGATCTAACTTTATGTATTAATTCGGGACTAGCCAAGATTATATATATTTGAATAATGGTTTTAGCAGCTGGCCATAAGCAGGGAAAATAGTGCTAAACTTGTACTCTGTTTGATCTAGCAAAGCTGATAATTGGGGTTCCTATTTATACAGATCTGTTAGTTAATTACTTATTTTATGATGTCTAAGTTGAATTACATGGTTGCTTATTTACGGTTAACCTCTGCTTTCAGGTGAGAATAAACTACTTGAGTATAAGCAGTAATTGGTAGCAAGATACTTTGATCAACACTTACTCTGTAAGTTTTTGTTCCCTTTTGATTTTCATCTCAAATTTTAAATGCTCTTGAAATGGATTAATTCACATTAAAATTAGTTTAAGTAAGAACGTTATTTTACCTCTGAATATACTAATTAAGCACCAAATGGAGTTTCTAGTTGAAACCATTTCAAAGTTATGAGAGTTTTATGTTAGTTTTCAGTTTGTCAGTAAGATAATATTTAAGATCTGATCACTCTCTCTCTCACCCTTTCTTTTTGCTTTTTATGTATATAATATGTAAATATATAAGAATTATGATTTTGTTTTTGCTTATAGTGGGGTGGGCAAGGGTCAGCCCATTCGACAACTGGGTCAATATAGTGTTTTTTAAAATGGACTGTCTCATGGTATAGTCCTAGCCACTTGGCTCTATGGGCTTATTATACTGTGGGCCTTTTTGTCGTCCTTTGTGCCCTTTTGGCCTGACCAGTCTTTTTGTGGGCCAGGGTTGAACGGGGGTGAAGGCTGACTCAGTTGACAGCATTACCCAATAACAAACATATACACACCAACATTTCTTTTTATGCCTCAAACTTTATTCATGAAATAATGGAGATGGGCTTTTTATTTTATTGTCTCTTCCTAAGGTTTTACTGAAAATTAATGCTCCCCCCATCCTCCCAATGTCTACTCTTTTTCTAATTTTATTTTCTTTTCAATGTCTTTCCTAAGGTTATGTTTTCTTCCAAATAATGTCTACGAAGAGAGTTTCATCAATTACTGTTAATTCTATTTTGAGGTTGTGCAAACAATGTTCTTCACACAACATTTCAGACTGTATCAAAAGCCTTAATACATTGAGGGCTATGAGCACTGCTGTTGAAAGGACTGATTTTCAGTTTTCTGGTGGTAATCAAAATAATAATTCTTTAGGCTACCAGCAGAGTAATGTTGGGTTTTATCAGGAAAGCTGGAAGATGGCTGATTCTAATGAGCCTTTGAATAAGCAAAGACTTGATACCCAAGCAAGTGCAAGTCAGCCTTATTGGAATAATCATGCAAGTTCAGACCAGAATTCTTATGGAACTCGTCAGATTGCAGATGGAGGCCATTTAAATGTGCCCCAAAACGTTAAGAATAATTTGGTGGGACATAATGGAAGTGCCAATAGATACTTTGGTCAACACAACATGAAAATGGAACAAAAAGTTGGGTTAGGCATTGATAATGCGTGCGTCTATGGAATTTATACAAATCCATTTGTTGAGAATCATGGTTGGACGCAAGATCCTGGACAAATGATGCAGCCTCCCAATGCATATAGTTCACCTAGGCCTTTAGAATCACAGGGAAAGCCATCAAATGTTCAATACAAAGGGGGTAATGAAATGCGTCAGCAGTACCCAGGTTCTGGCCAGTTTCAGCAGAGTCTAAACGATCCCAACTTTAATATTGCACAGAGATCAATGGTTGGCTCTCATCTATCGAGTAATGCAAATCCTGATGGCAAATCAGCTGAAGTATCTAATGATTGTCCATATAGAGGTACACTTGAGGAACTTGATAGTTTCTGCATTGAAGGTAAAGTGAAGGAAGCAGTTGAAGTTCTGGAATTGCTGGAAAAACTACTTATTCCTGTGGATTTGCCTCGATATTTGCAATTAATGCACCAATGTGGGGAGACTAAATCTCTTGAAGAGGCAAAAATTGTACACAGACATGCTTTACAACGTCTGTCACCTCTTCAAGTCAGCACTTATAATAGAATATTGGAGATGTATTTAAAATGTGGTTCTGTAGATGATGCTCTCAACATTTTCAACAATATGCCAGAGCGCAATTTGACAACCTGGGATACTATGATAACACAGCTTGCTAAGAATGGGTTTGCAGAAGATTCAATTGATCTCTTTACTCAATTTAAAAGCTTGGGACTTAAACCTGATGGGCAGATGTTCATTGGAGTTCTATCTGCATGTAGTGTGCTGGGAGATATCGATGAGGGAATGCTGCACTTTGAATCCATGAGCAGGGATTATGGCATTATACCATCAATGGCTCATTTTGTCAGTGTAGTAGACATGATTGGAAGCATTGGGCATCTGGATGAAGCCTTTGAGTTCATTGAAAAAATGCCAATGGAGCCAAGTCCTGATATATGGGAGACTTTGATGAATCTGTGTAGAGTTCATGGGAACATTGGGCTGGGGGATCGCTGTGCCGAGCTAGTTGAGCAGCTAGATTCATCTCGTTTAAGTGATCAGTCAAAGGCTGGCCTTGTACCTGCAAAAGCCTCCGACTTGACAAAAGAGAAAGTAAAGAAGTTAGCAAGCAAAAATCTGCTTGAAGTAAGGAGTCGTGTCCATGAATATCGAGCAGGAGATACATCTCATCCTGAAAATGATAAGATATATGCCTTGCTTAGAGGTCTAAAGTCACAAATGAAAGAAGCTGGCTATATTCCTGAAACAAAATTTGTGTTGCATGACATAGACCAGGAAGGCAAAGAAGAAGCTCTTCTTGCTCACAGTGAGAGACTTGCTGTTGCTTATGGTCTCCTCAGCAGCTCTGCTCGCTCTCCAATCAGGGTTATTAAGAACCTCCGTGTTTGTGGTGATTGCCACACAGCATTGAAGATTATTTCTAAGCTTGTAGGGAGAGAACTCATTATTCGAGATGCAAAAAGGTTCCACCATTTTAAAGATGGGCTATGCTCCTGCCGGGATTATTGGTGAACGTGAACTTAAGGTACTGCCTGCCTCTTGTTAATGTTTATCCTTTGTTATTTGATTGGTTGCTAAGAATTATATAGGAACTGCAATGACTGCAAATTGGTAAGCAAATTTTTTTGCTGCATGGGTACTTTTCAACTTACATGAAATGTATCCACTCTCTGCTATTACACCCCATATGTTTTGTTCAATATATTGTGTGCCAATTTCTGGAGTATGTACTATGTCCAACTATGGTATGAAATTTGCCAGTAAAACCCTAGCCTGGATGTACTTAATTGCAACTATACCTTTTCTAAGCTGACTACATTTTAACTCTGAATGATTTGGTAAAACGTTAGAGTCAAGACTGGTACACTCCAATCGATGCTGTTATATCCTTATTCTAACATTGCTTTTTAAAATAGATCAAAATGGGAGTTTAATTTTCACTTCCGGGAGTTGCAATTGCAATTCATATTTGGGTTTACAATAAAAATGTACCTGAGGCCATGTTAATTAACTTGAACAAATATAAATATTGTTCAACCATGTTTTTTTACTTTTAAGTTTTTTAAACCATTTTTCTTCTTTTATTGTTTTTGTCAACCCTGCAATGAAGCAAAATTAGGGAAAGCCTCACAAGTATTTTGTTTTACAGGTGTATCCTGGCTACCAAATGGATTGAATAGCATGGATGTTGCTAAACCCTCAAGACTACTCATAGGGAAATTGTTCATATATCTCATGGTCGTTAAATTAAAATCGAACATTATATCCACGGGGAGATTGGAATTTTGTATAACCAGGCTCTTCCATACCAATAATTAATCAAACAGTGGGAGGTGTATTCAGGTTGCAGAGGCATCATTCTTTGAGTAGTTTTATATAATTGGTTGTTGTAGCCTCCATATGAGATCTAAATTATCATTGCTCACCAGACAAGGAAAAGTTGATATGAAACATTAATGTTCAATGGTATAATTTCAGACAACTTTATTGACTCTCCGTATCTCTCCATTTACCACAATCTCAAAATTCAAATCATCAAATTATTATTTTAAACTTGTTGTATTGTTTGACCCTTCTGTATGAAAGTTCTTGCTGGTGTATATAAATCAAGATTTGCTGCCGCACTTGGCTGGGTGGCAGTAAAAACTAGTACAAGGGGTGAGCAAGAGATTCAGATGCTTGCAAAAGGCCCTGGAGCGTTTAGAACTCTTCGTAGGTGGGGTTCCCCTTTTGCAATAACCAATCATGGAGAAAATAATGAGGATTCTATAGTGACAGCAAGTTAATGTTAGTTCAATTGGTAGTGGGTAAGATGTACTTTAGTAGGGACATTGACAACCATGTGAGATTGTTGTCCTAGCATCATACAAAACTTGCATTAGGCACGGGAGCAGGGCCAGGGAATTATTTTAGCTCCAACGGAAGACTCATGTTAGGCCTTTCACGGGAGAGGGAAGAAGGGATAATAAGATGGAAAAGTAGTGCAGCACACACCAAATAATCTAAAACTCTAAAATTGTTTAAAATAATCATTGTCATAGATATGATAAACAATTTAAGCAATTTTTTTTTAAATTAGAACTAGGTGAATAGGAATTCTACAGAAAGGCCAGTGTGGCCTAAGAAAGATAAAAGTCTAACGAGCTACTTCGTGAATAAGAATAATTTTTTTTATTTTGTGTTGTGAGACCCGAAAAAGTGTTTACTTTTCTAAGGAAACCAGAGATTAAACTGGTAGAATAAATGTATTGAATTTGTAAAAATATATATTATCCAGCCAATTCACAGCTGTATTTAATAATAATAATTTATTATATTGTTAAATATAATTGTCATTTAATTGTATAAAATAAAAAAATTATTCATATGTCATTAAAAATATTAGTGATAAAAAAATAATTAATTTTAATACGTATTTTAAAATTGTCATTTAATACCTATATAATTTAACAAATATATATTATAGGTAATAAGTTACTTTATAAGAGTGAACCTTAAATCTTAACTAGAAAAAGAAGGAATATCTAAGAAAGGGTTGTACATAAAATAATTCAAAAATAAGATAAAAAATATTTGAGAATAAAATAAATTATAGTGCTTTAAAATTTGACAAAGTGATTATATCAAGTTAAACAGTTTAAATAAAAAGTTACAAATATTAAGAAAGAGGTTACAGAGAGGTCTTCAATGACATAGCACAAGGAAAGGTGACTTTCTCACCTCAAGAAATTTTAAAATTTAAGTAATATTTTGCATTTATATATATATATTGTTAAACATTAAGAAAAATACTTAAGTAAGAGTTTAAATTGATTATTTATTAAAAATATCGGTCAAAATTTATGATTAATAATATATGAATAATCTATAATAATTTTTATACATAATAATAACTTTACAAATGAATCATTGTAACATGTCTCTGCTTTCTCATAACCAATGTTTCCAAATAAATCTTGTAAATAATTAATAGAAAAGGGTATGTTCTATTTGTTCCCATCCATCTTACAAACATTGAGTTCTTCGATTCATCATCATTGTTTATCAGAAAATGAAATTTTAATCCGTATCATCTTTTGCTCCAGTTATTCCATCACTACCTTTGTAAATTTTCTTTCTTACACTTTCCCTATTTCCTGCATGAACATCTCTTATCATATGTTTCACATGTATTTTTAGGGAATCTCAAGAAATAAAAAAGTATTATGTATTTTTATAACAAATTTTTTAATATTAAAAATATCTAAAACATGTTTTATCTTTTATTTTAAATTAGTTTATAATGTAACTATAAAATATAAAATATAAAATGTAGAAGGTAAAATATATAATGCAAGTTATAAAATATATATAAAAAAGTGGAGGATTGAAGAAAGTAACATAATTAAACAACAAAAGTATATATATGAAATATAAATAAATACTATACTTAAAGTTCGTACATATTAATTAAAAGGAACTTTGCAATATTTAAATTCCAAATGTGAAGTTTTAGTGGCAAAGCATGAGCGGTTTCTTTTTGTAATTTCAATTTTGCCCCCGAAAAACGAGTGGTCATCGAACAAAACGAGCGCAGCGAAACATCCAAAGCTTTGGTTTCTTCACCACCACCACCCTTCACCTCTCTCTCTCTCTCAAAACCAGAAACAACAAAAACAAACCGAAAAGGCAAAAGGGGTTTTCCCAGTGAGATCTAGGGTTTCCATCCATTCGGTGGGAGGATATTGATCCAACAAGACGAGGTTAAGAGGTGGAGTACTAGAGCATGGATTCGGTGCCTTCGAATTCACATGGAAACCTCGATGAGCAGATTTCTCAGCTCATGCAGTGCAAACCCTTGTCCGAGCAAGAGGTAATTTTCTGAATGTTTATTTTCCTGTCTTTTACTCCGTTCTTTCTTATCAAATGCGACTCGTGGATCGAGGAAATTTCTTCTTTTTCTTGTTTCTCATCGCTTTTGTGCCTTTCTCCGAGCTGGTTCTTGCACATCGATCTGTGGCTTTTGTGGCAAAATTTGAACCCATTTTGGTAAATCTGGCTTCTAATGGAATTGCAATGGTGTCTGGAATGAGCGTTTTGTTAGAATATTCCTTCAGATTTGTTAGCATTGGCTTAGGATATTTGAAATTGAGGAAACCATATATTTCTATGTGCTTGTGTGTGTTGTGATTATAAGGATTTTGTGGTTGAGTTATATGGTTTTGTATGTAGAAGCACGTTCACTGGTGGTTTCATACGTCAGTTTTTTTACCTACTTGATTAGGGAGGGCAAAATCTTTAAGATAGATTTTTTACCTCTTAGTTAGGGACGACAATGAATATTATTAAATGAATATTTCCTCTTAACTCTATAAGTTAAGAACAGTGTTTTGAATCCTCTGCTCCTCCTAAAAAGTAGAAAAAGGAGGATTTATTTTCATCACAGAAAGTTAGGGTGTCTGGATTTGTTCAAGTTTGCTGATACGTGGATTGTTGTCTACCTGGAGAGGTTGCTTTTGGTTTTTGTCTTTGGTTGGTTGGGCTTGGGTTCTGAAGAAATTTAGCCAGAGTTTTGGGGAAATGTTATGAGTCATGGCTACAGCCAAGACATTATGTAAGTTGCATGACGTCTCTCTATTTTTCTAATTTTAAAGGTGTGTATTTAATGTCAGACCTATTTTGTCTCCTTTGAACATGTGGAGTGCCTGCAAAACTGATGGGAAATATTAAAAACAGCTGATCCCTTGAATACGCCAGTTCCTTGCTTCTTTCCCCTACTGCCTATCTTGTAAAGCATCTGTACTAGTTAAGTTAAACATTTCCAATTAATTTCACTTTCCTTTTGTTATTTGCACTTGTCATTGTATTTGATGGGTGGGGTGGGATTTAGGGAATTATAGCAAAGTGCTACCTAAGAGTTTGTGGTTTAAGAACAATTTCTCTTTTTGGCAGATTAAGTTACTACTGACAACCTGCTATTGTTGTATGTGGGGGTAGAAGATCCTCTGTCCGCTTTAATTGCTCTGTGTTGTTTGGACTTCGCGTGTCACTAATCACGGATGTGGCCCTGTCCTTTTACCAACAAATTCACACCTATAGAAGCCACAACTTGGAACATGATGAAATCCTTGTTTTATCTCTACCCTTTTTATTATGGCCACTCATTTTCTTGTTTCCAATTTACACTATTTTATGAATGAAAGGATTTTAGGGTTTTAAATAACTGGCCTCTCCATCCATTGAAATATAAAAGTCCTGCTATAGTTTCTTCTGGGTTGGCCATTCTATGGTGGTATTTGTGTTGATAATTATTGTCCAAACATATTCCATTTGTGGCTAAACCTGTTCTTTTTTAGCAACCTCAGCCCCTGTTTTCACTTCTTAGGCCTTTGCTCTGTTTTTATGCAGCTTTTTATTCCTTTGTCAAATAGCTTTTTTGTATGTGATTGTGCCATGTTTTTTTATCCCTTATGGTTCTTGATAATGCTTAAATATATAGACTGACTTTTGATGGTTTGATGGATATGTCATATTTTTTATAAACATGCCTTGAATTTTTTAAGTTTTTTTTTTTTTAAATATATGTATTCAATCTTGCGCCCATAATCTTTGTATAGAAGTGATCTTCCTTCACACTATTCTGTGCTAGTATCATTCTTATCCACTATCTTGCTGTTGCATTTTGGAGATGGCCTCTGCAGAGAGCTATACTGCATTGACAACTTCTCTTTTTTTGGGAAAAATGTCCTCCAAACTGAACCAATCAATCTTTCCAATTTGGGAACAAATCAGTTTTGTTCCAATTGGATAACTAAACCTTACCAATTACTCCCATCCAGTTTGTTTTATTTTGAAATTATGATTCAACTGCACCTTTTCTTGTCTGTGGCCCAATATATTAACAACATATTGGCTATAACAAAATTCTGATAGAAAAATCACACAAAACTGACATATCTAGCTGCATTGCAGACACTCCTGACTCCACATAACTACCTTTGTTTTCATATCTCAATCTAAAGAAAGGAATGCATGCAATCTTGATTGAAATATGAGTTAGGTTGGTTTGCTTTCATTAAAGAAAACCAAAAGGTGCTAAAAAAACTTGTTTTTCTTAGAAGAGAAACTTAACATAACCAAATGTAATGTTATATTCAAAATTTTTGTCCCCAGATTAAATTGGTTTGTTTTGATTATTACTTATGACCAACTATGTTTTGTATTTCAATGGGTAAGTATAATCCATTAAATATTACAGTTTTTTTTGTGTTCCATTATCTGTTTGATTGTAGTATACTTCTTTAAATAGCCTTGTCACTGAGAGTGTTGTGATTCTTTTTTATTTTCTGATCCAACTCTGATTTCATGTTGCACCTGTGTATGCAGGTAAGGGTATTGTGTGAGAAGGCAAAAGAGATTTTGATGGAAGAGAGCAATGTCCAGGTCTGTCTATTTTTTATGATTTATGTCAGCATGTTTAACTTATATGTTTGTGGTTTTCAGTGTAGGGATCTTTCTTTGAATTAGTTAATATAGTACCAACATTCTTCATGCCCCTTTTCTTTTCATTTTGTGATCATTATCTGTTAAGGTCTTATTAACCACCCTTTATGTGGCTTTTACTTTGTCTTACAAGTTTTATTGGTAGGGCTTTAACTCGTGATGATTTTGATGGACTGAATAAACTAAAAAGATTATTTCATTTGCCTATAATTGCAGCCTGTGAAAAGTCCTGTTACAATTTGTGGTGATATTCATGGGCAATTCCATGATCTCGCTGAGCTTTTTCGTATTGGAGGGAAGGTATTTTTTTATGATAGTTGGTTTTATATTTAACATTTGTCTATTAAATTTGCAATGACTTGATTACATAGATTCATGGTAGTTAGAATTGCACAGTTCAAATCATGACTAGTTTAAAAACTTTACGATACAATCTATTGAATGTATTGTTTGATAACTTGAATCGGAATTGAATTGTGTGATTTGCGATTCAACTTTGTCATGCACAATTCTAGAATGTGTGCGTTTAGTAAACAAAAACGAAGCGACAACTAAGTGAAACAAAGTGACATACACAAAAAAATGAAAAAGGGCGATTGGAATGAAGGGACACACATTCTGATTGGAACAAACTAACTATATATTGAGAAGGGTAAGAAGGATGAAAAGAAGAAAAACAGACAAGGGAGAAGAGGATAATGTGTGAGGCTTGCAGAGAAGAGATTCACTGGCAGAGAAGAGAGGTTCCATGGAGAAGAAGAAACTGTGTGCAGAAACAGTGGAACAGAAAGGCTGTGTGCAAAAATGGAGGCTGCGTTGTGTGCAAAAACGGTGAGAATGTGTGCAGAAATAGAGACTAGGTGTATAAGAAGAAGGTAAGTAAACATGGAGCACGAAGATGTATTTTAAAAGCCCAATCTTGAAAAACCAAATTTATACTATATGTTGAAAGTCCCACATCGCCTACGTCATATCATTTGGTATGGTTTAAATACATGTTAAGCTACTCCACATATTGCCAATTGGTTTTATGTTGGAATCTTAATATGGTATTAGAGCTAAAGCCTAACATCTTTTCGGTTATTGTCTTGGGCCAAGAGTTGCCCTTTCGTTATGGGTCAAAAGTACCCTTTGTCTGGTCCGGCAGGTTTCGTTGGAGGGGGCGTGTTGAAAGTCTCACATCGCCTGCGTCATGTCATTTTGGTATGATTTAAATATATATTAGGCTACTCCACATATTGCTAATTGGTTTTATGTTGGAATCTTAACTGCATGTTTTCTTAACTGCATGTTTTCTTATTAATCGGATGCCATCATCCTCTCTCAATCATAAGGTCCCTTTCTCCATTCTGTTTCCAGATAATCCTCTTTTCCACATTTCTCCTTGTGTTTTTGGTTGTGTATGTTTTGTTCATGACATGTCTCCAGGGTTAGACAAGCTTTCTGCTCGCTCTCTCAAATGTGTCTTCTTGGGCTATTCTCGTCTTCAGAAAGGGTATCGTTGTTACTCTCCTGAAACGAAGAAATATTACGTGTCTGCCAATGTCACGTTCTTTGAACAGACCCCTTACTTCTCTCCATTTGTTCAAGATGTTCATGTCATACAGCAGGGTCTCCCTATTCCAGTGGTTGGGTACAATCTTTCCAATGTCTCTGTCAATCCTGGTCAAAGTCTTGATCAAAGTCCTCCTGAGCCATCATCTCCACATATTCATAACCCCCAGAAAGATAGTCCCATTTTCCAAGAACATGGGGAATCCCCTACTTCAGATGCTTCCCCCTCGTCCCTTGATACCATGACTCTTGGTGAAGGTGATTTAGGCTGGCCCATTGCTCTTAGAAAAAGTATTCGTTCCACTCGAAACCCACATCCCATTTATAATTTTATTAGCTATCACAGATTATCGTCTTCCTATTGTTCCCTTTTATCTTCAGTATCTTCTGTTGTTATTCCAAAAAATGTGAATGAAGCACTTGATCATCCTAGATGACGACAAACCATGATTGTAGAGATGCAGGCTCTTAAACACAGTCATACTTGGAAGCTCATGCCCCTCCCATCGAGTAAGAAGGTTGTTGGTTGTCGATAGGTGTATGTAGTTAAAGTTGGCCCTGATGGTCAAGTTGATCGACTCAAAGCTCGATTGGTTGAAAAAGGATACACTCAGGTTTATGGTCTTGATTATTGTGACACTTTCTCTCTCCTGGCCAAGATGACTACTATTCGTCTCTTCTTTGCAATGACAGTCATTCGTCACTAACCCCTTCATCAATTGGATATCAAAAATGTCTTCCTCCATGGTGATCTTGAGGAAGAGGTTTACATGGAGCAACCTCTTGGGTTCGTTGCTCAGGGAGAGTCTGGTATGGTATGCAAATTGCATCGTTCTCTATATGGCCTCAAGCAATCACCACGTGTTTGGTTTGGAAAATTCAGCTCCATTGTTCAAAAGTTTGGGCTAAGATGTAGTGAAGGAGACCATTCTGTCTTTTATTGTCATACAGCTCTCGGGGAATATGTTTATCTAATAGTGACACTACTGGAATATCTCAACTAAAGGAATACATGTGTAGACATTTTCAAACCAAGGATATTTGAAGCCTCAAATACTTCTTGGGCATTGAAGTATCTCAGTCAAAAGATGGAGTTGTAATCTCTCAAATGAAGTATGCTCTTGATATACGACAAGAAACAAGCATGATTAACTATAGATCAGTAGACAGTCCTATGGACCCAAATCAAAAGTTAATGACAGAAGAAGGTGAATTATTCTCTGATCCAGAGAGATATATGAGGCTTGTTGGAAAGTTAATTTATCTTACTATTACGAGACCCGATCTATCTTTTGCAGTTGGAGTGATTAGTCAGTTTATGCAGACTCTATAACTTGGACATTGGAATGCCATCATTCATATTTTAAGGTACCTCAAGAAGGCTCCTGGACAGGGTTTATTATATGAAGATAAAGGAAATGTTCAAGTCTCCGGGTATTGTGATGCTAATTGGGCAGACACTTCTATTGACAAATGCTCTACTACAGGATATTGTGTCTTCCTTAGAGGAAATGTTATCTCATGGAAAAGTAAGAAACAAAATGTAGGGGTCCAATCATCCGCTGAAGCTGAATATCGGGTAACGACGTCTCTCACTTGTGAACTCATATGGGTAAAGCAATTTCTTCGAGAGCTTAATTTCTGTGAAATCCAAACCATGAAGTTGTACTGTAACAACCAAGTTGCTCTCCACATTGCATCAAATCCAGTGTTTCATGAGAGGACTAAACAAATAGAAATCGACTGCCATTTTGTTCGGGAAAAATTAATGTCCAAGGAAATTTGTACTGAATTCGTTGGTTCAAATGGCCAACTTGTAGATGTGTTGACCAAGTCATTAAGGGACCTGAGATTGAGTTTATTTGCTCCAAGCTTGGTTCATACAATTTGTATGTTCCAATTTGAGGGGGAGTGTTAGAATCATTACTTCCTAGTATTATCATTAGACCTAAGTATAGGGTGTTGAGTGTGGGAAACCTCTTACATCTGTATCTAGATCTGCACCTAGAGTCCTAGTTGCAGTCTCTTAGTCTTCTATATCTCATTGGATCATATTTCCATTATAAATAGAAGAAAGGGAGAAGGGTCCCATAAGCCCTGAACATAAAACAAAAAAGTAAAAATGTTAAGGTTCCAACATAAAACCAATTGGCAATATGTGGAGTAGCCTAACATATATTTAAACCATACCAAATGACATGAGGCAGACAATGTGAAACTTTCAACATGCCCCCTTCAAGGAAGTTTGTCGGACCAGGCAAATGATACTTTTGACCCACAACGAAAGGGCAACTCTTGGCCCAAGACGATAACCGGAAAGATGTTAGGCTTTGACTTTGATACCATGTTAAGGTTCCAACATAAAACCAATTGGCAATATGTGGAGTAGCCTAACATGTATTTAAACCATATCAAATGACATAAACAAGCCATGTGGGACTTTCCACACTATACTATTCTATAATAATATTTTTATGCTTGCATGCACTGTTACACCCGTGACATTTGCTTTTACTGATTGAATATGACACTGCCATTGTCACTTGCTTTTTGTTTCAATGTCACTGCACTGCACTGCACTTCTTTTTTAATTTTATTTTAATAATGTTTTTTGGTTACTTTAACATTTGAATCATGATTTTGTATGTACATATATTGTAATGTATCATATCACTTATTTTTACTTAAAATATCATATTTTATTTATTATGTATCTTATGATTCATAATAAGATTCAATTTATGATTCAAAAATTGAAAAATGATGCACGATTTGAATCTTGATTTGATAATTGTGGATAGATTTTATTTATATGTATCATGTATTAGATAAATAGTATTTTGGAAATTTAGGAAATTCCATGTACCTTTCCTGTTGTATTGTGAAATTAGGTTTGTTTTGTTTATTTCATAGTAAAACTCTGTTCTCAATTAAGTTTTCAAAATGGTGTAGTCGTTCTAGTTATTCTTATTTGGGTAGCAACAATACAATCGAAAATTTCTGAGTGTCTGTTGCAGTCTAAAAATTACTAGACAGACAATTGAATTTGCATGCATGTGTTGAGGGAGTAATTGTTGTACATGGGTGTGTTGGAATGGAAAGTCATGTAATGCACTAGTTCTAAATTATTTACTTATGGAGGTTTTCTTTTCTTGCCCTAAATGTTTTTTCAATAGAGAACAAGCTGAAGTATCAATCAGTTTCCTTACACAGCCTCTCATTGTCTTATTTCAAATTTGAGAACAAATGTGTTAGTTATGTATTTATTTTATTCTTGGCTGAATCATTATTTTTAAGATCTCATCTTTGCACGCACACATCTTGCTTGTAGTTGAAATATGAAATTTACTGGTTAAATACTGATTTCTAGTTACCATTTTTTGTTGGTAGTGTCCAGATACAAATTACTTGTTTATGGGGGATTATGTTGACCGAGGCTATTATTCTGTCGAAACTGTCACGGTAAATATGAACTTCATTCTGAAATATTTTATTTTGTTGTTATTTACTTGTCATAAGTCATTATGTGACTATTCGTTTAGGATGTTCTAGTGAGACCTCATTGGTCTCTGGCTAAGTGTCCAAGCATGATTTGTATTTTCTAGTGATTTAATATGTGTGCTTAGGGAGTAGATTATTATTTAGCTTATTAGCAGTTGCTTCTTATACAAACAAATTCTTTTTTGGACCATAACTATAATATTCCATTCCTTGTGGCATACTCCTGCAACAAGAATGGTTGATTACTATTTGTGCAAAGAACCATGTGTGGGGGGTTGTTATTGGAATTATTGGGTCCTACTATTAAACTATACATATTTGTGCACCATGCTATCCTAAATTAAAAGCACCATGAGTATGTAACATGTGTAAATAATCCATTATGTATATTGAACATGTGGGGTACTATTAGCTTGCAGAGATATGTATGACATTCAAACTGATTTTGTGGTACAAGTTGACAAGAGCTATTTCTTTAATTGCATATTTCATGTGTTTATTTTGCTTTTATATGGTGTTTATTTTTAACATTTTTGGTTTTAATTCCAAAAAAACTATGCAGCTTCTGGTTGCCCTTAAAGTGCGGTATCGACAACGTATCACTATTCTGAGGGGAAATCATGAAAGTCGTCAGGTTTGTTGTTTTAAAACCACATGACGTTTCTGACAATAGTGAATTACATAGTAGTTTTAAAATCCTAGTTTGGTCCTTGGAGGCATTTTCAGTACCAATTGAGTTCTTGACAGATTTTCTCTATCAATATGCTACTGTAAGTTCATATTGCTGTGAATTGAATGCTTTCATCCATCCAGCTGAAGGAAATGATTTAGCATTTTGTGAACCAAAATATGCTTTTCGTAAAAAATGATACCATTAATTTCAGAAAGTAGTTAGAGTTAGAACTTCTTTTAAGCAACTGACTATATAGTACTTGTGTACAGCATTGACTTAATTGTTCATTTTTTTTAATGTTTTAGTTTTCAATGGTAATGGTTGATCTTTTTCTGTTGCAGATTACTCAAGTTTATGGCTTTTATGATGAGTGCTTGCGGAAGTGAGTACCTGTGAAATTTATTAGTTATAGGATGGTTTTATTTAAGTTAACACATTCGGGATTATTGTTTTCTTATCAAAGGCAATTTTTTTTTTTTTAAATTTTTATTGCCTATTCTTTATTCGTTATTAGCACTATAATCAACATGTATTCTTTTCCTGTTGTGTTTTGGATTTAGTTTTTATTTTTTTTGTCGTGTCACTTAGGTGGGCTAAAAATGATTATAAAAAATAGGTACCCATTTTCTGGTTATTCTTTTATTCCAATAGATGATAACAACTACAACAACAGCCTTTATCCCATGAGGTGACATTGAGAAAAAAAAAACAATGTTATTGGGTTCTCCAATAGATAACAGAGACTTCTACATTGATCAACCTTCAGTATCAGAAAAAATGCTACATCGCTTTTTGTATCTAAGGTTTCACTGGCACTTAAGTTAGGTTTAACGCAGATTCTAAATTTGGGATATGATTTGTGGGTCACACTAACACGCAACATGGAATTCTTGAATTAAGTAATAAGCAATTAAACTACTGAGACATTTTATCTGCATCTTCATTGGTTGATGTGATTTAATAAAAAGATCACAAATATGATTTTAATTGCAGCCTATGCCCTAAGGGATTTGCATCCTCTTTCTCGTTACTAAAATGCTGATTTCTTGTTATGAGAATTAAAGAAATAGAAACTAATTTGATTGACCCTATACAAATAATAGTAGGTCCTGCATTTCTATTGTAATTACTTTTGCATCTTTATCCAGCATAACATGACATTGTCACATTAGTTAGTGGCATTGAGAGACCCAAATCTAAGCAATAAGTTGTATACATTATACTATTATAAAATATACCAAATTCATTTTTTAATGAAGGTTGATTTGGAATTCATATTATGTTGCTTATTGGGTATTTTGATCGTGTATTTTATTATGATTAAATTCATAGCTTTTTTTTTTTTAATTATTCCTCATTTATATATTTTTTATTTCCTTTTATAACTTGCATATTTGAAGTTGTGCAATCCTCCTGTCTTATTGAATGTTTTTATTTGATTTGCAGGTATGGGAGCGCAAATGTTTGGAAGATCTTTACCGATTTATTTGACTACTTTCCATTGACAGCTTTGGTTAGTGTCATTTCGTAATTTTGGAAAGTACTGTGGGATATTCTTTTAGATTGTCATTGTTCTTAGGTCTATGGTAGTTTGTTTGTTTGTTCAATGGTCCTTGCCACCTTTGTGCTGAGACACATGCAAGATAAACATCTTGTGTTTTTTAGTCCTGGGCCTCCAAATTACACCGTCTTCATTAAACTATTAATTGTATATTCTAATGTATTTTAATGAAAACTACATAATAATCAATTGAATGAAGGTCAGGAGAGGTACAGGACTAGAAAACACAGGAGAGAACAGATTGGGATGGATTGTGTAATCTGTTGTAGCGGATGATCTCACCGTTCCTCCAACGCCCTATTTCTCCCTGATCTGGAACCATTTGTGTTACCTGGTTTTAAAGAAAAACTAAATGTCACTGACTGAGATTCTAGGTTTAGCTGTGACCCATTTCTTTCTATAAAACCTTGAAGCCTCATCTCATGTGACACTAACTGAATCCAATTCTTTTGATCTTGTTTTAACTCTTCTGAAGTCACTCTGGTCTATTCATGATATAGCTGATTGAAGCATTATTCTAATCTATTTGTGCTCTGCCATCTGTGTGGAAGCAAGGGCTGGGAGAAGAAGCTTGTAGTTTTTTGTTTCTGAAACCTAGGAAATAGGCTCTTGGGCCTTTCATTTAAAATAAAACCATTCCTGGGTCTTTGGCTGAAATTTATGTTCCGTGTCCTTCAGCATCTTGTGTTTTTTATTATTACTATCAAATATAAAATGTAGATTGAGATATTAGTGATATAATAACAAAAATATATGAATCTTTGGACTGAGTTTATGTTCCCTTTTCCGGCATCTTATATTTTTACCATTATACCAAATATAAAAGTTGCTTGAAATTTTAGTAATTTAATTACAAATGTATGGATTTTATATGCATCATACACATACTATGAAATTTGTACGATCTTAGGATCCATTTTACTATGCGATGATTTATGATCTTTAGCCCCCTTTCTGTTCCGTATTAGGATTTTGATTTTAACAACCTGTCCCTAGTTAAATGTGCTTTCTGTTCTTGGTACTCTGAATTAAGTGTGCTTCTTTTTAAGCTGTGTCTATGATCTATTTTTTTAAAAATATGCTCCTGAAACTTACTCTTATTTCTTTTTTTGTAATGTTCATGATGTGCCGCTCAATCAATTGCAGTTCACATATTTCAATGGATTCCAGTTTTTAAATAATTGATGGTGCTGAAATTTGCTATGTGAACTTTCGTAGGTTGAATCTGAAATATTTTGCCTTCATGGTGGATTGTCACCATCTATTGAAACCCTCGATAACATACGAAATTTTGACCGCGTACAAGAAGTTCCACACGAGGGACCCATGTGTGATCTTCTATGGTCTGATCCGGATGATCGATGTGGTTGGGGCATCTCTCCTAGAGGTGCTGGATATACCTTTGGCCAGGTAATCCAGTTTGATATCTAAAATGGTTGTATTATTTTCATCTGTAACCATTACTTTTTTTTAGGGCTTATGCAAATTGCTGTTGTGTAGGACATATCTGAGCAATTTAACCATACCAATAACTTGAAGCTGATTGCCAGAGCTCATCAGCTGGTTATGGAAGGATATAACTGGGGTCATGTAAATACTTAATGTCATTTAGTTTGTTTTTATATATTCATTCGATGTGGTAAATGCACGATTAATAGTCCCTTGCTACAGGATCAAAAGGTGGTTACTATATTTAGTGCACCTAACTATTGTTATCGTTGTGGGAACATGGCATCAATTCTTGAGGTTGATGACTGCAAAGGACACACATTCATTCAGGTTGAGCTTTCCTTTTTCTTTTATTAGATGTTCCAATTATTCTTTAGCTGGCTGCATTAAGCAATATGTTGGATCTGTAACTCTTTCCTTCGTGGTTACTTAATCATCTTTTTAATCTCAGTTTGAACCTGCTCCAAGGAGGGGAGAGCCAGATGTAACGAGGAGAACGCCTGATTACTTCCTATGATACTACTTTGGTTTAGTTGCTGTTACCAGCACAGCAACTGATGCCCTGCAGTAATCTGCAAGCTCATCTACTTGTCCAAATCAGAGCCATGTATCATATGGATACTTATATTTTCCAAGTTAGGCTTCGCTGGATGTGATATTTAGTTGAATTATGACTGAATCTTTCCAAGAGGAAGCTGAGCAGCTGGCGATGCTATTGTGGGCATGTGTATCATTTCAGCTTGCAATGTATCAATTTTAATGTTTTTTTTTTTTTCAATTTTCCTTTTTTATTTATTTACAACACTTGGCTTTTCTTTTCTCAATTTAGGATTATTGTTAAGGGGGTGGGTTTCTGTAGATGGATAATGCTTTTAACATATCTTTTAATGAGTGTTTTGTGATTCTTTACCCGCGTTGTGAGAATTAATATTCTAATAGGTAGTCTTGTCTTTATAAGAAATGAGTTTCAATTAAAAGAGTGAGAGTTTATCTATGATAAGTTTGAGGTAATTTTCATGACGGATTGTGATATTCATATACGGCTAAAATAAGAGAAAATCAAACAATAGCTTTTCTAATTACCGTATGCTTTGATAAAATTGTTGTGACCCCGAAACATTCTGTTCTCGATTATCTAAATGACGTATTTTGTTGTTGAACATATTGCCCTATTATTATCGATCTGCCATACTTCTACTCAATCAATTGATTATTATTTGTTGACCTCAATTTTGTATTGATTATGTTAAGAATGTTTCCTCTTTAGTGTCAAGTCAAATTTTTATTTGTTGGAAAGATATGTTGAGATGGGTAGAAGCGGAAAAACAGTTGATGGAATTTAATTTTCTTGGACAGTAATGTTGTAGTAAAAGATTGCTTGCATTACATGTTAATAAGCACCACACGCGACATCCCTAACTAAACCCCAAAATTCCATTTGCAGCTATTCCCCACTCTTCGTTCACCCCTATTCACCGTCTATTAATCCTATTAAGTCACATGTCTCAAACCTTGGTCATTTTGTGTTTTCCTACATCATTTGTTTTTACCAATTTACACCCATTTCAGTCAGTCTTTACCCTCCTAAATTTTGGTGTCTACTACATCCCATTAACCTTCATCCTATCTAATCCCATACCATGGCTAGCCGTCCTTTAAGTCACTCTTAGACCAACCATGTGCCTATTTATTTTTAGTCCAACTACAAGGCAATTTATCAAGCTTTTTATTCCACAATGTCCATTGTCCTTTTTAAGCATACGGGGTTCGATTTCTTTTAGGACCTTGAGGACAAGGTCCAAGTGAACCCGTGGGCAATTAGGTGCTGTATAGTTTTAAGATTTTATTATCTTTTGATGTTTCATTTATATTTTATTTCTCTAGAGTGAGATGATGACAGCGTCATCAATAATATGAATGTTTACTCCTTTTAGCTTCCTTTCTGGTGTTTTAGAGTAGCTTAGCTTTAACTTGCTATCAGAATACGTCGATGCGTGGTAACATTCTCAAGCATTCATGTGGTTTCCGATTATTCATTTGCTAGTAAACTTTTTAATTATTGCAGGATGAAACTACACGAGCCATGTGGAAGATCCAACCTAAAAGCAACAAGTAACAGTTTTTTATCATCTGAAACTATGAATGTCAAGTTAAATAGTATTTATTACCCTCCCTATGAAAAAACCTGCTTTTTTGCTTTTCTCGTTATTCTTCCCGAATTCTCGTGAATATATGCGGTTATTTAAAAAAATAATCTAAAAATTATTCTTTTAAACTTTAAATTCAAATAACTTTTTATTCTAAAGTATAATATGCAAATAATATTGCACTGCACAAATTAATATAAAAAAAATGAACTTAAATAAGATTAAGTTCCAATAAGGTGAACACATAAAATTAGTTTTAAAATTCATTTCAATTGCACAAATATAGATAAGAAACCCATAAATCAATAGAATCAAACTCTAACTTGTATACAATTTTGAGCAGTTCACGAGAGACAAAAGTACAATGTTACATATCAGATGGTAACTTTTGACCTAGTGTTATAGGCTTAAAGGCAGCCAACGGCACAGAAACTTTACACGCAAGAAATCCCATCATTCCAACTATGACATCTTTTGGTGTTAGCATGACTTGAAGTTCTCCTGAGCTATACCTTGATGCAATTACTGCCAAGCCTAGAGCCAAAGCCGCACTTGCTATTAGACCCTTGACTCCTTTGAACAATGCATCATTGTCACTGGTGATTAGTTCTGAAGCAGGCAATTCATCCACAGATCTCTGCAACAGTAGCAGATACAAGAAGCCTCCAATCCCACCAATCAAGAAAGCAATCCCAGCATTTTCCCCGGCCGAGAAGGAAGCTACTGATGTTCCAAAAAGTGTCAGCATAGCATCATAAAATAACAATGAGAATTTCAAATCTGCATATTCCTTCATGCTCTCTTCCTTTAAGATCTTAGGATTTGAAAGTAAGGTGTCATTAAGTCCTTTGTTGAAGATGCTTGTGAGATCATTCCCTTCCAGCTCAGTCACAAGGGTAGGTCTTAATTCCAACAAGGACAGATCAGTTCCCTCACCAAGCAACACATCATCAATCTGAAAGTCATACTGGAAGCCAGTGTACCTTGGTACCTCATCTTCCAACCCAGACAGTTGCCCTTCACAACTAATAACCATTAAGGATACACCTCCTAGGCGCCACTGACCTGACCTTAGAAACAGAAGAAGGGTTTTGTAAGAAAGCCTTGGTTTAAACAGGTCAATATTGTATCATTGTATGAACTCATTATTGTACCACCAATTATTTTATTCATGTTTCACAAAGAGGATTGTTAGCAAACAACTCATTCTTTAACACAATTTCCAGCATACACTGTCCTATCAGTTAAAATTTATTAAAACCTATAAAATCAGGAGTGGACTCATTAAATAATGAGACCAACAAAATTATATGACTTCAAATAAATTTCATCTAATATTTGAGTGTGTGTATATAAACTAGTGTGTTGCTGGAATTTATCTTGTGGACAGATAAGAGAGTTAGTCAAGGACACTTTCAATTTGTAGGTCAGGGATGATGTCTTCGGAAACTTTCAATCACTCCACAAAAAATATCAACAAAAATAATATACCTGATTCAACACTAACCCAAAGAGCCTCCAGCCTTGCAAGTTTAGGACCCTCAAAAATGAACTCATCCACAGAACCTCTTTGGAAATGAAGTATGTCAATATTAGTCATATCCCCCGATTCTGTAGAATGATCCGTCATCAAACTCACAGGGATCCTTTGCAATATGGAATTTCCATTTTCATCTATCAAACAAAGGATAACTCCGGCATTTAAGTCACTAATACTTGAGCCATTTGAGTTGCTAGTACATAGCTTGACCATAAATAAATATCTCGATCCATCCTCCTTCAGCAATGATGAAATGTTTTCTACTGATGTATTTGTGTACACTTTCACCTCAGAGGCTGGCAAAAGATACAAAGGCCTTGCATAGCTCTGAAAATCTGTGGCAGGAATATCACATATTGATGAATAAGATAAAATCTCTTCTTTAGAACATTAGTGATCAAATGTCTACTCTAATAGTTTTCATTATTGAAAGATGCGCTTTTAGATCATAACCCTTTCCCTTGCCCCATTTGGTCACAAAATGAATACTGTTGTACTTAAGAGAAAAGAAATCACTCAGGTCTTCATTTCACTCAAAGAAGTGACAGACAATAGCACATTAAAGTTAGTTGGCAACCCAGATAATCAATGCATCTACCTCTGTTGAAACTCATAAATTAGAAAGAGAACTTAGGGAAATACTTTTTGGCCTTAAAAATGTGGAAAACAATCCATGTTAGTAACTACCAGTCATTGGACCCAATAAATATGAAACTGGTTAGTTTTGTCAATTTGACAGAAGTTGTTAAACCAAGCTTCATGTGTGTATGATTCATGTTAAAGCTAAAAAAGAAGGTAAAATTCCAGGTTACTGAAGTGAACAGTAATGCAAAATTTTGAACTTTTATTAGATATAGGAATAGGTTGAAGCCAAGTAAGACAACCAAAATCAACCAATTTAGGTTCATTGCAACAATCTTTTACACCAAAATATATTGCAAGTTGCAATCATGATTGCAGCATTAAAATTTAAAGGTTTGACTTATACATTACCCACTAAAGTAAATGACGTGACTAAAGGATAATTGATTGTGATCATTGATTAATTGAAAATGGTGACGCCGAATGCAAATCTACGTAAAGAGTAAATCGTATCAGTACTCAAAACCTGCATATATTTTATAACTGGATAAATCCTCTCAGATGAGATTTTATAGGACAGAATTAAATAAAAAAACTGAGATTGATAGTTATGCACTGAGATTTATACTACCATCCAATCAAAAATTATGGTCAGTACTATTTTTAAACTAATTATTATAAAAGTCAATAAACTTACATATAATGATTTGTAATTAAACAGCAACAAAAATCTATCTGTAATTAGTTTTTTCTCAGATTATATTTGTCTCCCCTGACTTTAGCAAATATAGTTAACAGTTATAATCAATAATTAAAATTTATATATTAGATCACATTAGAATATAATTAATTAATTTATGGGTATTTGATAACATCAAACTTGTTTATCCTAACAATACATCAAAGTTAAACTAACCATGAAGTACATACAAATATATAATAATAACAACAACAGAATTGTTCTAACGCTAAGTTAATGTTCAATAAATAAAATCATTGCCTTTGCCTTGAAGTAAATCATCATGTGAAAGGACCAAATTCATGAAAAATAGTGTTTAAATAAAATATTAAAAAGATAGGGTGCCATTAAATTTTGTTTAAAGTTATGAACAGAGAGGTACAGAGACTATCATCCATTCCCATGTCAACCCCGAACCCCTCGAAATTGAAATTCATTGAACTGAAGCTAGAAGTTAAAAGTTTAGATTTTTTATGAAAATTTCCAGAAATTGGTAAGTGGGTACCTTGAAAATCAGCAGAAGAAAGTTTGGCCCGAACAGAAAAACGTGAGTATCTATTTTGGGTGGGAACCCTCGTTGTGGGAGAAGATGATAGTTGTATGATTGTTTTCCTTTGGAAATGATGAGAGTGAGATGTTGAAGCTGAAGATATCACACTCTTCACAGGAATTCCCTCCATGCCTCTACCCTCCAATTCAGAAACTGCAGTGCAGGGACGAAGATAATGTACCAAACAATTAAAGAAATTTTGATAATAAATATTAAAAAACAGTGAAAAGTAAACAACCGAGAGTTCGTAGTCCAACGGTTAGGATAATTGTTAAAGTTAATTATTTTTCTTTTCTTTTCAAATATTATATTTTTATGTTATATTATTAAATATACAAATATATTATAATTAAAATTAGAAATATTAATAATTAAGTTTAAATTATTAATTATAATTATATATTTTAAAATATTTTTAATTTAATCTAATAAAAATATTAAATAATAAATAAAAACATTTAAAAATTATTAATATAATTAAAAATATATTTAAAAGATAATATAAAAATATATATTGATTAGTTCATCTATAATTAATTTTGATGAAACGAAATAGAATTGTTTTGATTAAAATAAGTCAATTTTTTTCATCATATTTTTAAAGATGAGACTCATAAAAATAAATATACTATTTCTTCCTGTCATCTAGTTGTAATTTATCTTATTTTAAAAAAATTAAATTTTAAAATTATATAAATATTTAAGTTTTAACTTTTTTTATTGTGTACTTTAAGATTTTATTATTAAAAAAAACCAAAGTATATGTATGTTATTATTGTTTATTTATTTTATAATTTAATTTATCTAATAATAACAAAAAATTAATATACAAGTAATTTTAAACTAAATTATTAATATATTTTATGTCTTTTAACTAAATTTAATAATTTAAATTAGTTTTGAAAAATATTGCTTTTATCTTTTTATCGTACTAATTTGTGTCTATTCGTTCTCGACTTGATAAGGATGTGCTGCATAAAAAAACTTTTAAAAATATTAAAAAAACTGTGTTTTAAAATAGTTTTTTTTATGAGGATTTTAATAACATATTGAGTTCCTTTTATTTTAAAACAAACTGTAATTAATTTTTTTAATCCTCGTTATTTTGTGTTGAACTTATATATTTATAATAATTTTAAACAATCTATTACCACATTTTTTTACCAATTATATATATATATATATATATATATATATATATATATATATATATATATATATATATATATATATATATATATATATATATATATATGGGCCATTGGTGCCACAGCTCACAAGTCCAGACTTTTCGTTTCCGTAACAGTTTTTGGGGTTCTTTTCGTAATAATAATTTACTTTTATAAAACAAATTTATTTCTTATGTCACATTACTAATTTTTCAATATATACTATTTTTCTGTCATTTGAATTAATAAAAAGTGAACTACAATAATATCATATTCCAGATTATTTAGATTTACTAAAAGAGTCCAATAAGTTAAAATGAAATGTCCATTTCATTTCATTTTTGTTTTTTTCTTTAATTTAGGACAAATGACAAAATGTTTTCCTTTTAATTCGTTATAAGAATAGTTATACAATAAACTAATACCATGAAATGGACACACGTTTTTTAATTGGTTAAGTTTTTAAAAGAGTTTTACACCATTTTTATAATTATAAATATTATATTTTCTTTTTTATATTTATATTTTCTTTTTATATATATAAAATAAAAGTGTTAGTTTAATTCAAAATAATTAAGAGTTGTCAAAGTTGGCATAAATAAAAAGAATTTGTGTCCCTTAATTAAATGCAACTATTAATATAAAAGCAGACGAGAACCCAAATAAATTTTAATTCATGTATAATTACTGTTTTGATGAGTTATCTGTATTGTATTATGCAAGTTTTCTAGAATATAACAAAAAAATTTTGAATTTTTTAGGAACTCATAATCTAGCAAATAATTCTTAAAAGATAATATACTTAGGATAAGGAAAGAAGAGAGAAAGAAAAAATGAGAAGATAAGTGAAGTGTGTTTCGAAGGAGTGTGAACGGGTCTATTTATAGGTGTGATATGGGTAACAAACTTATCTCCACATAACAACCCTTGTAGAGTAAATGCACAACATTTTGAGCAATCCTAGCGCCTGAAATCCAGCAACTGTCATATGCTACATGTTCCATGGATGAGTCGCCATGAAACGTGGGAGGAGATATACTGTTGCATTAGCTGAAACCAAGTTTTGCAGATGATGAATTGTGGGTATAGTTCGTGGGTAGTGGGTCTCACTTTTAGATTTTGCAATACCCTTCTTCTTCTACTACAAGAATCTCTCACATATTGCAAAATAAAAAAAAGGAAGATAAAGAAAACAAAAGAAGAAAATTCTAGGTCTTATATAAGATATAATACATCAGAGTTAATATAGAAAACTATATGAACTAGTCTTAGATTGAAAACTTAACACACACTGTAGTTGGTATAACAAGTTATATGAACCAAAACACTTAGTGTATATTAGTGGTTTAACAATCACAATACACTCTTATAATTCTTATTGTTATCGTTGTGTTGCGCTTACTAGGTCATTCATGTGCCCGATATTCATGAGTGTTCTAGAAACCTTGCAAAGATCTCATACAAGTGACCCCACTCGACACTCATATAGGTGATTTCATTAAGCGTATGCTGCAAATCATACACCACCTGTAAGGGATATGAAATCATTAAAATCTTTGTTTAGTTTAATATTTGTACACCATATAAAATTTTAATTACAAAATTTAACCTCTCAACGATGCATTATCTAGCATTTTCACACACACCATAAAAATGAACATAATTGATTTTAATCAATTTTAGTACTAACAGAACTAACAAGTAACTTATTTTTACTCATATGAATCTTATTCATGTGATCTTCAATCACAAAGGTTAGGTTACCATCACTTGTTTGTTTGCAAGTGGCTTGAGTCTCATTTCCCTTTATGTTTTTAAAATCATGTTTGTCCTTAGAGAATTCATTAGAGGATCTATTAAATTCCGTTCTGACTTCACATAATCAATGGAAATTGTTTCACTCTTTACCAGTTGTTTCAACAAATTGTGTCTCAGTTGTATATGTCATTGTAATTCTTGTTTTTAGCTATGACTATTACCGATTGATAATCACAATGTATAAACACAGACATGGTTGGTTTCATTCTTAACGAAATATTTGCAAAGAAGTTTTTCAACCACTCAACTTCACTACCAGTCATCTCAAGAGCAACAAATTTTGATTCTATTGTTGAACTTGCAATAATTGTTTGCTTGACTGGTCTTCATGTAATTCACCACCCCTAAGTGTAAATACATAACCACTAGTAGATTCGAATAAGAGATCTAGAAATTCACTATATTCAGTGACATAATATATTGAACATCTTAAGTGTCTCATAAGCCTTACAAGTGCATCACAATGTTTTTTATTAGGACATTAAGTGTACCTACTCGATCTACCTACTGCATAAGCAATGTCAGGTCTATAAAAATCATTAAATGTAGTAAGTTCTCAATTATCTGGGCATACTAAGATTGAGAAATAAAGTCTCCTCTATTTTTCTTTAATTTAAAGTTAGCAACATAAGGGGTACTCACTGGTTTGAAGTCATAATACTCAAACTTCTTAATAAGTTTTTCAATGTATTTCTTGGGATAGTAAAATACTATCTCTCTTTCTTATGATTCTAATTCCCAAAATCATATTGGTTTCACCCATGTCTTTCATTTCAAATTTAGATCCAAGGAACAACTTATTTTTAGAGATTATGTCAATGCATGTACCAAATATTAGCATGTCATCTACATATAAACATATAATGACACATTCACCATTTTCAAATTTAAATTACACACATTTACCAAAGTCATTAATTGAAAAGTCATCCTAAAGTATAATATTATCAAGTTTTTCATGTTATTGTTTTGGTGTTTGTTGTAATACATACAAAGGTTTTAAGAGTTTGCACACTTTGTTATCTTGACCAGGAACAATACACCCTTCAGGTTGAGTCATATAAATTTCTTCTTGTAATTCGCCATTAAAAAATGTTGTCTTAACATCCATTTGGTTTATAACTAGCTTATGGATAATTGCTAAAACTAACAAAACTCGAATAGAGAAAATTCTAGTCACAAGGGCAAAGGTATCAAAATAATCAATGTTTGGTTGTTGAGTAAAACCTTTTGCTACTAATATTGCCTTATATTTATCTATAAATCCATCGGGATGATAATTTTTCTTAAAGATCCATTTACAACCAATGATTTTTGCTCCCTCAAACAAATATACTAAAGTCCAAGTATTATTTTTTTTATTAAGTCGATTTCAATCCTAATGGCCTGATCCCAATATGTTGCATCATGAACATTAGTAGTCTCTAAACAATTCATTAGATCATTTTTAACTAGATAAGTGAAAAAGTCATCTCTAAAAGAGGTTTTCATTTTCTGTCTTTTACTTCCCTTCAAATCCTCATGCATGTCATCACTATTAATATCTATAGGGTGTTTAGGTGTCTCACTCACTTTTAAAGGAAAAATATGTTCAAAGAACCCTATATTTTTTGTCTCCAATATAGTATTATGCTCAGTTACCTCATTTTTAAGGACAAGAAACCTATAGGCAACACTATGTGTCGCCGCCGTCCATTTTCGACGTCCTGGGGACGTCTTGAAACGTTTATGCGAGCGGTCGCGAAAAGATGGTTTAGACTCGCGTATTTGTTTTAAAAGGTTTTCGAAAAGGGGTTCTTATGGAGTCGCCACCAATGTTTTGACCTTAAACATTGGAAAAGGAAAAAATGTTGATTTTAAGAAAAACCGCACTTGGCCATTATAACCAGAGTTGGGTAAGGGAGTTAGTTACGTGTGGGGAAGGTGTTAGCACCCCACAACGCCCCTTTCGGGTTCCCTATGACAGATTAATTCTTTTAAGTAAAGACTACGAGAAATTACGCGATTACCCTATTTTATTACATAATATTAAATGGCTATCTACATGATTTTATTCTATGTTGCATGCATAAAATGATGAATAAAGCTAAATAAAACAATAAAACAATAAATAAAACAATAAAAGAGAAGGGAATTGAAAAGA